TTTTTAAAAATAAATATTTGATTAAAACAAGTTAAAGCATTTTTAATTTAATAATTATAAATTATTAAGTAATAAATTATCTTAATGGAGCAGTGTTAAAAATAAGGATGAGGAGGCTAGATGCGGTGGCTCACGCCTGTAATCCCAACACTTTGAAAGGCCGAGGCGGGTAGATCACCTGAGGTCAGGAGTTCGAGACCAGACTGACCAACATGGAGAAACCCCCGTCTCTACTAAAAATACAAAAATAGCTAGGTGTGGTGGCACATGCCTGTAATCCCTGCTACTCAGGAGGCTGAGGCAGGATAATTGCTTGAAACTGGGAGGTGGAGATTTCAGTAAGCCGAGATCACACCATTGCACTCCAGCCTGGGCAAGAAGAGCGAAACTCCATCTCAAAAAATAAAAATAAAAAAATAATAATGAGGAGGAGGAGGAAACAAAAAGCTGGACAGTTCTAAATGGTCCATATTCTGCATTCAATATTTAAATATGTATTCATCTGTGCCAGTCAGACAAAACAAGGGGCCACACATCAATAGAACGTTAGAAAGATTAATCTTTGCAGGGCAAGAAAGAATTTGTAAAGTATTTATCACCATGAGAAAATATTTCTCTTAGAAATAACAGACTATTATTCACTAATTATTGATCACCTACACAAAACTAAGCACTGTGAATATGTGATAAACACATATGTGTGTCCTGCTTTCAAAATGCCTTACAGAAATCCCAAACTTCTCTTTTTTGCTGTTTTTTGTTTGTTTGTTTTTTGTTTTTTTTGAAACGGAGTTTCGCTCTTGTTACCCAGGCTGGAATGCAATGGCGCGATCTCGGCTCACCGCAACCTCCGCCTCCTGGGTTCAGGCAATTCTCCTGCCTCAGCCTCCTGGGTAGCTGGGATTACAGGCATGCGCCACCATGCCCAGCTAATTTTCTGTATTTTTAGTACAGACGGGGTTTCACCATGTTGACCAGGATGGTCTCGATCTCCTGACCTCATGATCCACCCACCTCAGCCTCCCAAAGTGTTGGGATTACAGGCGTGAGCCACCGCGCCCAGCTTAATCCCAAACTTCTCTTTTACAACATGGAATTGATGAAATGGTTTCAGGTTCAGGTAAGATTGTGTAAATGCCTGCTGATCATGTAATTATCTAATATTCTCACTCAAAATTTAAATTCAACTGGCAATATAATATACTAGAAGGAAATTCAGGCCAGGTGCAGTGGCTCACACCTATAATCCCAGCACTTTGGTAGGCCAAGGCAGGAGGATCACTTATGCCAGGAACTCAAGATCACCCTGGGCAACATGGCAAGACCCCTGTTTGTATAGAAAAAACCACTAGCTGGGCATAGTGGCACATGCCTGAAGTCCCAACTACTCAGGAGGCTGAGAAGGGAGGATGGATTGAGCCTGGCAGACTGAGGCTGCAGGGACCTCTGATAGCGCCACTGCACTGCAGCCTGGGCAACAGAAAGAGACCCTGTGTTAGAAAAAAGGAAATTCAAACTCTTCCATATCATATATATATTTTTTTTAATTTATGAAACGGAGTCTTGATCTGTCACCCAGGCTGGAGTGCAATGGCACAATCTTGGCTCCCTGCAACCTCCACCTCAGCCTCCCGAGTAGCCGGGACTACAGGCGCCCACCATCACGCCTGCCTAATTTTCGCATTTTTAGTAGAGACAAGAGTTTCAACATGTTGGCCAGGCTGGTCTCAAACTCCCGACCTCAGGTCATCTGCCTGCTTTGGCCTCCCAAAGTGCTGGGATCACAGGCGTGAGCCACTACGCCCGGCCCCTATCATATTTTAAATAACACACTCAAGCACGCTCATCTAGGCTCGGGAAGAAGCCGGGTCATAAAGTCAGCTTCCCAAGATTCTTGGAATCTCCTATTCTGTACAAATGGAACCAAAAGACGCCAAACCGATGTATTTTACTGAGTTACGCTGAGGCAATGTAAATAAATTCAATCTATTGAAGTATACCGAAAAACAACATTGTAATCAATTAAGACAACTTAGGTCTCAAGGCTAAGGCAACACCGCCTCGAAACTCTTTCCTGGAAACACTAAATCTCCGTGTGGCTGTTTAGGAAAGACCCTATGGAAATAAAGTCATGATGTCCTGGACTACAGATCCCTCCCGCATCTGCTCCTTGGCTGTTCTGCTAGGAAGAAAAAACTCTATCGCGTAGAGTTGTCATTATCGATTTAGCTCAGTGCTAGCTTTAAATGGATTGTCTTATTCAATCTTGACACTTTGAAACAGGCATTCTCATTCCCCTTTACAGATGAAGAAACTGAAGCCGAGAGAGGTTTAAAAACTGGCCCAATGACTCAACACAGTTTCTAATTGACACTCAAATCCTTGCTCGGATCTGAACGCGCTAAGTGCCTTGGGGAATATATGAAGCGAAGTGTGTAACCGTGAAGAATTCGCTCAACAGCCCCGGACTTCCGTTTCCTCGCCATCCAGAGGAGTCTCGGCGCCAAGGCAATCTGTGCTGCCACCCCCAGCTTGCAGCCAGCACAGCTGGCGGAGCCCCCCCAGGACAACGGCAGGACGGAGCGGGGGACCTGGCTGGAGCCCAGCGCTGAGGCCCGACCCCAGCGCTGAGGCCCCCGGAGGCGCAACCGTGAGAAACGCCACGGGAGAAGGAAACAAAGCCCAAACCGTGCGCCACCGTGACCGAAGGCAAAGGCGGCAGGACGACCAGCTCAAGGCCGCGTTTCCCAGGAAACTGGACCAAACTCAACTCACCTCCGGCCGGATTCGCCGGCTGGCACCTCCCCTTCACTCAGTGCCTCAGTCGCCATCTTCGTCAGCAAACTTCTTACACCGCCCCCCCTTAGGTCCCGCCCCCCCGTCTTCGGATTGGCTAATGTGTTTTCACCTCTTCCGTGCGGTTGGATGACTCGACCGCCCCTCCTCAACCTGAACCGTTTAATATATTATTGGTCTATTCAAATAACTAACCATCATTGGTCGTTCCCAGCCCCGGCGGAAAAAAAGGGAGGGGCGGGGAAGACGACCCAGCCCCGAGGCCTGCCGGGAGTTGTAGTTTCTCATTTTGATTAACCCTTCCGATTCCATCGACTTTTAGGTTCAAGTCAGAAATCACCAGCCTACGTTCAAATTTTGTCCTGATATATAAATCTCAGAATTATAGAGCTGTCGACTGTAAAAGTGACTCATCACTTTCTAAAATACAACACTCTATACCTGTATCTTATCATCACACAATATACCCAGATAACAAACCTACCCATGTACCCCCAAATCTAAAATGAAAGTTGAAAATAAATAAATAATTTTCCTTATTTATTTATTTATTTGTATGTTTTGTAGAGACAGGGTTTCACCATGTTGCTCAGGCTGGTCTTGAACTCCTGAGCTCAAGCAATCCTCCCACCTCAGCCTCCCAAAGTGCTGGGATTACAGGCATGAGCCACAGCTCCCAGCTATTAATTAATTAATTAATTTAAGGCAAGACATTCTCTGTCTTAACCCAGAGAGAAATTCCTCAAGATCAGACAGGGAGTGGCAACCTAGAAGTACTTGCTTTTAAATGTGAAATATGTGCAGTAGAGTTTAGTGAAAGGAGTAGAAACCCTGTCTCTACTCAAAATACAAAACTTAGCAGTGCATGGTGATGCACGCCTGTAGTTCCAGCTACTCGGGAGGCTGAGGCAGAAGAATTGCTTGAAACCGAGAGGGAGAGGTTGCAACGAGCCAAGCCAGCTACTGCTGACGCAAGAGAATTGCTTGAGTCCAATTCTGTGCTGCAATTCACTATGCGTATGGGGTGTCTGCAGTAAGTGCGGCATCAACGTGGTGACCTCCCAGGAGTGGGGGCCACCAGAATGCCTAAGAAGTGATACAGCTTAGGTTGGAAGCAGAGTATATCAAAAACCCCACGCTGGCTAGGCATGGTGGCTCACAAGACCAGCCTGACCATGGTGAAACCCCATCTCTACTAAAAGTAGAAAAAAATTAGCCAGGCATGGTGGTAGACACCTGTAATCCCAGCTACTCAGGAGGCTGAGGCAGAGGCAGAGTTTGCAGTGACCTGAGATCATGCCACTGCACTCCAGCCTGGGCAACAGAGTGAGACCCAGTCTCAACAGAAACAGGAAAAAAAAAACAAAAAACCCTGTGATGATCATCAGTAATGGAATTGTGCCTATTAATAGCCACTGCATTCCAGCCTGGGCAACACAGTAAGACCCTGTCTCTAAAATAAATAAGGAAATAAAAGAATGCTAAACTCCCTTCTCTCCCTTCTCAGATAACACCTGGCTTATCTCCGTGGCTATGTGATAAGGACTACACATTACATCATGGTTACAGTTTAATCAATCACTCAAGAGAGAAAAGTGTTTCTCTTCAAAACCAACTGTTCTGCTGTGACTTCTGATTAAAAGCAAATATCATTTCTGATTCAAAGCAAATATCATTGCTGAGTGCTGTAAAAACACAAACTAGGCTGACGAGCCTGCACACCTTTGTTTCTACAAGGGTATCATGACTTCTCTGAAGTCATCCTTACTCTATCTAGGGACAGATTGTCAGCCTGGTGCTAAATGTGTTCAGCAGGAATTCAAGACAGTTCAGAAAGTCATCTCGTTTTCAACAGTCTAGTTGAACAAAAGGTCACAGAAAGGTGGCCCCAGCCCTCAAGCAGTTTACAATAGACTCAGGAAGACAAAATGAACACATACAAGTCACACACCACAGAAGATAGTTTAGAATTATGGGGCTTGGGTGGGGGCTAAATATCAAAGTGGGGAACAGACTCCTAGGAATTCGGAAGTTTGGAGAAGGGAAGAGGCCAGGACTGTCAGGAGGGTTTAGGAGCAAACCCATGGACTTGAGTCTGCCATGACTGTCACTACAAATCCATCTACCTACCCCACAATACTGCAAGCTTTGGGGGTAGAAGTGGTGTTCTAATCATCTTTGTTTTTCCAAGCTCTCGCCTCCATGGCAGGGAAACAGGGAGGGAGGAAAGCTGGGAAGGAAGATCTGCCGCTGACCCCACCTCTAACTTCACCCTTCAACAGTGCAAATGACTCAGCCCTCGATGCATCTTTCTGCTGTTTTATACTTTTGTATACTCTGCCCTCTGTTTAAATTAAAGCAACACTTTTTTTACTTTTTCTTTTTTTTTTTTTTTTTTGTTGAAGTCTTGCTCTGCTGCCCAGGCCGGAATCTCAGGTCACTGCACTACAACCTCTGCCTCTCAAGTTCAGGCGATTCTCCTGCCTCAGCCTCCTGACTAGCTGGGACTATGGGCACACACCACCACACCCAGCTAATTTTTGTATTTTTAGTAGAGACATGATTTTACCATGTTGGTCAGGCTGGTCTCGAACTCCTGACCTCAAGTGATCCATCCACCTCAGCCTTCCAATGTGCTGGAATTACAGGTGTCAGCCACCACGCTGGGCCTAAAGCAGGACATTTGGATACCCATATCAAAATACAAAAGCATCATGTGCACAACAAGCATTTCTGAGCCTTGTATCAGTTTCAAATCTTGTTAGGGATGGGGTGAGGGCACCTACTGATATCTCTAAAAAATGAAAATCTAGGCTGGGCGCAGTGGCTCACATCTATAATCCCAGGACTTTGGGAAGCTGAGGCAAGCAGATCACATGAGGTTGAGAGTTTGAGACAAGCCTGACCAACATGGAGAAACCCCATCTCTACTAAAAACACAAAATTAGCCGGGTGTGCTAGCACATGCCAGTAATCTCAGCTACTCAGGAGGCTGAGGCAGGAGAATCACTTGAGCCCGGGAGTCGGAGGTTGTGGTGAGCTGAGATCGCACCATTGCCCTCCATCCTGGGCAACAAGAGCTCTTCTTTTCATATTGTTTAATTACACAAGTAATACAGAAAGATATTTTTATTGTTTAAAAAAACTCAAATAATATGGATAAAAATTTACCTTTGTCTATATTCTATTTTTTTTTTTTTTTTGGGACGGAGTTTCGCTCTTGTTACCCAGGCTGGAGTGCAATGGCGCGATCTCGGCTCACCGCAACCTCCGCCTCCTGGGTTCAGGCAATCCTCCTGCCTCAGCCTCCTGAGTAGCTGGGATTACAGGCACGCGCCACCATGCCCAGCTGATTTTTTGTATTTTTAGTAGAGACGGGGTTTCACCATGTTGACCAGGATGGTCTCGATCTCTTGACCTCGTGATCCACCCGCCTCAGCCTCCCAAAGTGCTGGGATTACAGGCTTGAGCCACCGCGCCCGGCCTACCTTTGTCTATATTCTAGTCCGTCCTCTAAGAAACCACTATTTTCAGTTTTATACATGTCCTTCCAGATCTTTTTCTATATAATATATTAATTCAACAAAGATTTATTGAGTGTCTACTATATGCCAGGCACTGTTCTAGGCCTGGGATATAAGTATAAACAAAAAAAGGTTGGGTTTTTTTTTAGCATTTCACTATAATGGCAGCATGCATATCCATAGAGAAATACATAATTTTGGCCAGGTGCAGTGGCTCATGCCTGTAATCCAGCACTTTGGGAGGCCAAGGCAGGCAGATCACGTGAGGTCTGCCTGCTCCAGCAGCAGGAAACGAGCGTTGTCTTCGTTCAGGTGGCCTGAGCCCCAGCTGAAACCCCGGCTGGCCATGGTCGGGCCCCCAGGGGCAGCTCGCAGCCTCACGTCCCCGGGAAAGAAGGGCCCGGAGCTCAGCCGGCTCCTGGGAGCCCCACCGCTGGCTCGCCCATGACCGCCAGGCGCTCCCGCAGGCCGCGAGGCTCGGGTAGGTCGCTTCTGAGGCTCCAGCTCCCCACGTCCGCCCTGACTCCTAGTTTCAAATCCGCTTTGTCGCCGCCGTTCCCCGCCATTCCCCACGCTCTCCTCGGAGTTCTCCTTAAAAAAAAAAAAATCACGTTCAAGACCAACCTAGCCAACATGACAAAACCCCGTCTCTACTAAAAATACAAAAATTAGCTGGCATGGTGGCACACACATGTAATCCCACCTACTCAGGAAGCTGAAGCAGAGAGAATCACTTGACCCAGGAGGCGGAGGTTGCAGTGAGCCGAGATCGCGTCATTTCACTCCAGCCTGGGCAACAGAAAAAGGCTCCATCTCAAAAAAAAAAAAAAAAAAAAAAAGAAGACATACATAACTTTGTTTTAATTTTTAAATAAAGAATGATATACTTTACTGTCCTTACATATGTATTATGGATATTTTTCCACATCCATATCCAGAGTTCTGCCATTACTCTTTTGAACTGCTGCATGATACTCCACATTATAGATGTTTCTGTGTTTATTTAAACAATCCCCTCTAACTGAACATTTATGTGCATGTCAGGCAGAGTTGCAAGCACTGAAAACAGACTTGCCTAATAGAAAAAGAAACTAGATTTGTTGGAAGGAAACTAGGCTGAAGAACTGACAGGAAGAAAAGGGGCTAGAGAACAGGAAACCCAGCTGAGGTCACGCCACCCAGAGCTGTCCACTGCAGCAGGCTCCCCTCCACCGACTGCCCATTTATCCTGGGGGTTTGTCACCACCTGGAAAGACAGATCTTGAGTTCAGAACATCTGGCAAGCTGAGCCTAAGTCTCTCATGCCTCCACTGTCTGCTAGGAGGAGACCCTGGCCTCCCACGAGAATTCTCCCCGTGGAGAAACCCCCAAAGAGGGGAATAATGAAGGGACACATGTTTCCTACAAATCGTTCTCAATGTTTTGTTTCTCAGGTCTCTTTATGTGCACAACCACCTGTTTGTGCACTGGGGAAAACTTAATGCCTCATGGGTGAATCACCTGAGGTCAAGAGTTCAAGACCAGCCTGGCCAACATTGTGAAACCCCAT